GCCGGTTGTTGCACATGCTATACTGATGGTCTAGGATGGCATTGTGTTTGATTTGCAGTAGTTCCTTGAGTTTGTTCAGATGAACCCTGAACTGTCTGGACATCACCACTACCAGTCGGTGCTGCTTCTTGATGGCTGGTACTGACTTGATTGGTCTCCTAGGTCGACGGATCTGGAATGTTGTAATAAGCCGGTCCGCCCTGACCAACTAGAAATCCATGAATCGCCTCCTTCATGGCGTTGTGGAATACATCCATGAAAGCTTCGTTATAGCTTGATATGGCATCATGAATAGATTTGTCCACAACTTCTTTAAAGAAACGCATGTCTTCAGCTTCAGTTGTGTCCGTCTGCCTGTGCAACAGAACTCTTGGTAGTGGAAATTTCTGAACAATTGTGTTGTCACGTGTTTTGGTGTAAGACAACAAATATTTGTTCTGAAACTCTTCTATAGCTTTGTCGATGATACACTTATCCCCGTCAGGTAGATCTTCATAATATAGCATAAGGATGTCGTCGTTGTTGTGAACCGCCATGACGATTGTGGGGTCCCACCGGGCGTGCCAGAAACGTGTGTCGACACAGAATTTTCGTCATGTGCCGAGGACACACGTAGCAAGCAGGAAGGGTCCGCTCGATGGAGCAGATCCGCCTAGCTTCAACGCAGGGATGGTCGATCCTGCGCAATCCTCCCGAGACGTGCCAATCAATTTGACCCTGGAATTGACAAGGAGAGAAAGTTCATCAGTAATTAAGGGCAGAACTTGCCGGTGTTGCCAGACAGTCCCGAATGTGCGGCTATGAGAGCCAATATGAAAGAAGATCGACTAAATAGCCGATTCCAGCATATTCATGAGAATAAATCAGTTAATGCTCATGGGGCTATGTAAGAGGAATCGGTTATCATTCAGGATAAATATAATTGTTTGAGCAAATATAAATTAATGACAATAAGATATCAACAATGATCGGTCTGTGCTGAGCCAATAATTACAAGTAACCGAACCCCTTTTATATGAAGGAACGATTCAACACCACTTAACTATTTAATAAAGATAAATCTAATAAACATGTTAGATCTCATCTATCACCATGACCAGTGGGGCATGAGGCAGAATCATGCAGGCCATAGAAATAACAATAGACTCGACGACTCTAACTCATTACTAATATCAGTGGGGCATGAGGCAGAATCATGCAGGCAGTATTACAATAATAAGATCATGGGGCTAACATATCTTTCAACCTATCTTTACTTCAACGGTCTCGTGATACGAACTATTCGTGAAAGCACTCGATATCGGCTAAAACAGTCGATTCAGGCATAGCGCACAGTTAAAGTCATGCCTTACCAGGAATAGATCTACTAAATAACGATCCCCACTCTACGGTGCTAACAGTGGGGTGTGAGGCAGAATCACACAGGCCGTGATAACGGGCCGTGGAACGGTTTTCGTTAGCCAATAGATCTACTCGAGACGCAACATGCCTTAACCGCACGTTATGCACGATTAAGATTGATATAAAACAGCCGATAAAACATAACTCATCGTTTAAGGTGTATACTAGATCAGTTTTAGATTAGCAAACGATGGGTCAAATAAGATATAAGACCGATCTAAATCAATCTCAATCGGACAGAGTGATATTGGTGTAATTAGATAAATAATAAAAGCAATAAGTAATATCGGTAACTTAATGAATCTACCAAAGACTGTCATTCTAAGGTAGAGCCGATAACTTGACCTTGATCTAATTCAAGGAGTGGGGTGTGAGGCAGAATCACATAGGCCATACTTGAATTAAACAAGAGTCGATAACTAGCTTATACCAGAGCCGCAGTGGGGGTCGACCGGATCGATGCAACTATACGAACAGAGGTATAAACCATGACGGTACTTACAGACAAGTAGTGGAGGTCGACCGGATTGATGCAGTCATACTCGCTGAAGAACTCATCGAGATCTACTCTACTCCTACTCCTAAGGTGTGGCCGAAGCCAAAAAAAGTAATTGACTTGTATTTGGATTGATTGATGATCTTTTTACAATAGCCGGGGTTTGATATTTATACCCGGGACCTACGCACGACTCCTGTCTAAGCACGACTCATCACAATTTTGACCCTAAAGAAAACATTCCTAATTAAAGATAACTTGGACTCTAATCTTTTCATTTTTGTAGAGTCCAACATGTTTCATCCTGGCGCCGAATCATAGCCTTTGTCGTTATCCGCTGGCGCTATCTGAAGAAAGTCGATTCCATTTTTTGCATCCAAATCAGCTGGTTCCGATCTACACGTAATTGATTCCTCGATGACGTGATCTTGGGAGCTTTCGAGTCCCTATGACTCTTCTTCTAAATTTTGGTGTAAACAAAATGGTGCGACCAGCTCACGTTCTGTGCTCATGTAACTTCTTTTCTTCAAATCTTGCACGGGCCACCTCTGCGGCATGGTCCTCGCTACATCCAATACCTTCATGTACGAAATGCAACAAGTTAGCAACGCGATTATATTACATTTAAAAGCAGACAAGAAAAATAACAAGGCTTTCAATGACTTACTAGCACACAATGCAACAACATGGTCATTCAAGACCTGCATCTGTACTATTTTCTCCTCCATTGCCTCCTTCCTTGCCCTCTCCTCCTCTAACGCCCTCTGTCTCTCCAATCCCCATTTGTCAAGCCCAACATCGATCGAGTTACGAATAACGCGCTGTCAACCATATGGCCGCAATAATGGCCTATTCCAAGCTTCGAAGGGACTAGACCGTAGTTGGATTTAACACCACATTCGCACTTGACTGGAGGTGCTTTGTAAATTAACCTTTCTTTCTTCTTTTCCTTTGCCTTTGGTGGCTCCGGCCATTGATTCTTAGGACCGTAGAGCCACTCATTAAAACGACACTTCGAAAATCCATAACGCTACAAGAGAATATATTAGTACATGCACACATATAGAGATAAACATTTAAACAGATACATTTTTCACTTACTTCGTGTTTGTTCGGACACACAAACTCTAACGTATTCTCAGGGTTTATCACAGTTCGATCTCCGTATTCGCACAGAGGAGATTCCTCGAGTCGTCTAACTGTGCCTATGTTCTTCTCCTTAGCCGTCACTGACGGGGGGTTAGGGGGTGGAACCCACCGCTGGAAGTGCTCACGTAGATGTCTCCCTCTACACCAATCGTCGAAAAGGAGGTACCTATAATCAAACTTATCTGCACCGTCGATCCACTGAAAGAAAAAGTATCTCTCATGGGCCTACACAACAAGATTCCAATAAAATATTAGTAGTCTACTTACACAAATAAAGAAAAAAATAGTGGAAACAATTACTTATATTAAAACGACTGCATGTGTAGAAGCAACGCGCCGCTGTGTTTGGATGTCTCGATTGAAACACGTCGGCCGGGAAACCATAGTCACAGTTAGGGACAGGGAGGTCAGGAGGGATGGGGACATCTTTGCTAGACGCGTCGGGTTATAAATCTCAAGGACGACCCCGTTTTCACTAAAACTTCTCTCGATACATTTCTTGTATCTAATAAAACGGTTGTAATTTAACAAACAAAAATCAAAACATCACAAATTAATGCCAATGAGAACCATTTGCATTACAACAAATAAAATATAACCTATACTTTGGTGCAAACTCTATCTTAGATGCAAACATAAAAACTATATAAAAACTATACTTTGGTCAGTAAAAAATAAAAATTGGTACATCAACAGTGTGTCCATATATTTATTCACATATAAAAGTTGAGATGCAAACTCAAACAAGCAAAATTCATATAAAAATTCACCTTAAAATATATGATAATCATAATTCTAACTAACCAATTAACCTTAACATGGCAATCCTAATCATAATCCTAATCCTTCAATCCAACGTTCTAACGAACTCATATTTTCCTCCATACCCTAACTTTGATCCATCATGGAGGCCGAGAATGAGCTTCATTACCTTAACAAGGCCAAGGAGGAGTTTCGGGAAAGATATGGAGGGGCCGGCAAGGGAGGGAAATTTGACGGTCGGCCGTGGGGGAGCCGGGAGGCAATGGCGCTTGATGGTGGTCGAGGTGGGAGGCGCGGCGGCAATGGGCACACGCAGGCGAGGCAACATGCTTGTCATGGAATAAAAACAGAGAGGGAGGAAAGGACTAGGCATGAGCCTCTATTTAGCTTCTGCCACATACCTGGACGGGTGGCGCGTCACAGCCACGCCCTAATCGGTGGCGCAGCAAGGCCTACCACGTCAGCGACCAGCGGGACAGGACATTGCCACGTACGCACCCTTGCCGCGCCTTCATACATGGCGCGGCAGCGTGAATTAGCCACGCCGCGTTAGTTTTGAAAAAAAATGTTTTTAAAAATAGTTTAAAAATGTGTTAAAAATAAAAAAAAATCCCCAATCCACACCGCGGACCGGAGCTTCCTTCGTTTCATCCCTACTAGTCTTTCGGGCGCGCCCATGCGCGCGGTGCACTGGCCAAACGTTTTTTTTTTGGGAAAAAAAGATATAATCAAAGTTGAACTGTATGTTGATTTGAGAAAAATCCGAGGAGGTTTTCGCAAAAAATGGTGAGAGGGTTTGTGGAGCATGGGTCGATTTTCGGAAAAGGTAAGGGTTTTTTTGCAAAAAAACCGGAGGGCATCCGTTCTGGACTACGGGTTGATTTCAAAAAAAATCTGAGGAGTTTCTTGCAAAATATCCTGAGAGAGACTCTAAATTGTGAGTTGATTTTCAAAAAATAGAAGGATTTTTTCGAAAAATAACCGTGGCTCGCTTCGATCTGGACCATCCGCGCGACCGATCGAACGGCCACGAAAAGCCGACGACGTGAACACGGCCACGAAAAGCCGACGACGTGGACGCGCTGGCTGCGCGAGCTGGCCACATATCTTTCCTCGGCCCCTTGCGCTTCTCGAGGACTCGTGCTGCTCGCCTTCACCCGTTCACCGCACAGCCCAACACCATCTCGTCACCATGCGCCGCCCGTGGAGGCACCCGGGCCCAGGGGCCGCCGTCGCTGCGCGCCACGGCGCCGCGGACCTCTGCCTCCGCGAGGTCGGGGACCTCCTGCCACGACGCTTCGCCCGCCGCGCGGCCGGTTCCGAGGTCAGTTCCCCCCTGCCTTCTGTAGGTCCGTTCCTTCTCCGCACTGTGCCCTTTCAATCCCCCGTCGCTCCCGCATCTCGATCCGTGTCGCGGGGGCGGATCGGCGCGCGCAGCGATTGGGCTGGACGGCCGGTGTGTTCAATGGCGTGGTGTGGTCTCGGGCCCTGGCCGCGTGGCGCTAATTGGGGGTGTGCTGAGTTCCATTTAGCTGGGGAGCGTTGCGTGGTGCCGGTTGATGTGATTTCCGTGTTGCGTAGGTGTTTGGTTGACGTATTGGATTGGTTATTTGCCCTATGAGAGTGTTCAACAGGACAGTCGGAATCACAACAAATTAATCAAAGTTAGTGAATACTGGATGCATTTGTTGTGGATTGCTGATGGAATTACCTCTTTACAGGACCTTGTGATGCGGCTTCAGATTCATCGGAAGCTTGACAGGCACACGGGCTGCGTCAACACAGTGAGCTTCAATGAGGCCGGTGATACCCTCATATCGGGGTCCGATGACCAGAGGGTGATGCTGTGGGACTGGGACACCGGGACCGTCAAATTAGAGTTTCATTCAGGACATGGCGGCAATGTGTTCCAGGCACGGTTCATGCCCTGCTCAGATGATCAGACAATTGTCACTTGTGCTGCCGATGGCGAGGTTGGTTTCTTAGCTCCTTGCTTTCTTGTTCAACTTTTAGTTGATCGTATTCACCGTCTCAGTTTTCATCAGCTGTGATGCTCTTGTGCCTCTACCAGGTGAGGCTTGCCAAGATACAGGATGGTGGTGACGTCTCCACAACATTGCTTGGTGAACATGGGGGAAGGGCTCACAATTTGGCTATAGAGCCCGGTAGCCCTTATATCTTCTACAGCTGTGGTGAGGATGGCCTTGTTCAACAAGTAAGCCATTAAACACGTGCAGTACTCAGGTGCTTGTAAACTGAACTATAACCAAGTCTAATTAGCCATTTATTTCTTGTGCAGTTTGATCTCAGAACAAACACGGCCTCAAAACTATTTCTTTGCAGAAGCTCCTTCATTAAATCACTATCCTCAACTCGTGTCCAACTAAATGCGATTACAATAGATCCGAGGAACCCAAATCTTTTTGCTGTTGGAGGAAGCAATGCATATGCTCGTGTATATGACATCCGCAAGTGCAAGTGGGATGGATCATCTGATTTCGGTCGCACATCTGACTGCTATTGCCCACCACATCTTGTTGATGATAAGAGTGTTGGCATAACAGGGTTAGCGTTCTCTCACCTGAGTGAGTTGCTTGTATCTTACAATGAAGAGAATATTTATCTATTCCCTAAAAATGGAGGGCTGGGATCTGACCCCAAAAAATCTGTTATGATTGGAGCAAATGAAGGGTGCAAATCAAGAATGTCAGCATCTGGACATGATGTTTCTCAACCTGCACCTCAGGTATATGTCGGTCATCGCAATTGTGAAACTGTGAAGCGTGTGTCTTTCATTGGGCCAAATGATGAATACGTTGCTAGTGGGTCAGACTGTGGACGGATGTTTATTTGGAGAAAGAGAGATGGGAAGTTTTTACGAGCCATGGAGGGTGATGAGTGCATTGTAAATTGCATTGAGCCTCATCCTCATGCTATGACAATTGCGAGCAGTGGAATTGATAATGATGTAAAAGTTTGGACTCCCTCTGCGATTGAGCGGGCACCTGTGGTAAATGTTGATGAGGTAATATCTCCTGGCCATCTATGTCCCCTTACATCTCAACCTTTGGCCAACCTTTATTCTCCGCATAGTGGAGAACTGTAGCAATCCGTTGTTCAGGATGCCATATTTATTGATCTGGTGGAGACATTTGCACATCGCTACTTTCTCCATGATTTCGTCTTTCCAGTTCAGCATCATCCATTTTTGTTTGATATTTGAAATTTAAACATTTACAATTTATTGAGTACCTCCCTTGTTTGGCAGCTCCAGTCTAGACCTCGCAAGAGAAGAGCCAAGTTCTGGCGCTTTGACTTACCAGATCTGTTGATCCAACACATACTGGCATCAGAACATAGGCAACGATCAGCTGAAGAAGATTCATCAGAGGACCATGAGGACAACACAGGATTACTTAATCTAGTGCTACGGGCTGCAGTTGGAGGTGTGTCATCTGATGATGATGATGATGATGACGACGATGATGAAGAGACCTCTGATGCCTCTGAATAGTGTTGAGTTAAGCGATCTATTGTCCACCTTTCAGGGCCGTTTCAAAATTGTAAATATACAGTAATAAGTTATCGCGCTTTCATGGATGATATAACAGAACAACTATGATTTAGTAGCTTGTCATTTCTATGTTATAAGTATGATTTTAGTGGGCTATTTTAATGAAAAAATTGGACTAACCAAATTGTGTGCTGTCTTATGAAAATCTGAAATGGTGTTGCACCATAAAAACTTTGTGGTTCATTCCTGTGAAGATTACCTTGATGTCTATTTTCTCACGTGTAGTAGCAGGATGACTTAATGTCATATGATGATTTGAGGGACTCTTTTAGCTTCATTTCATTGCTGGTTTGTACAACTTACTGATATGAAAATGGTGTATGTTGGTGTGTGAGAAATGTGTTTGGTCCCTGCAAAATGCCTGATGGATTGGAACGTGGAGGTACATTAGCGAGTACCTTTTTGTTTCTTATTCTTCTCAGCTGCAATATTCTGGCTTTGTTGTTACTTGTTGGGCATTGCAGCCATATGGATTACCACAGAGACAAACTTTTTTTCTATTTTACTAAATACAAAGTATTTACTGACATTACTGAATGAATATGAGATCTGAATAGGATTTCTTTTTTTGTGAGGCTTAATCATATCACTTCACTGGATCTATGATATCTGTTTGCTATATATATTTCCTGCGGTAGTTGCTTATGATCAATAGGATTTAAAGGTTGCAGGTTAACAAGTGCTTTGGAGCTTGGTGTTATTTGCTTGAACAATAATAATTGCCAGAAGAAAAATGATCAACTTAGAGCCATGGACTTTGTAAATGAACAAGGAATTCACATAAGTAAATTTGTTACGTAGTTCTGCAAATGGGAGAAAAATAGAAACAAAAGTTGAGCAATAACAAGACAGTGTTCCTCATCAATTTCTCAGTATATTCTTCTATTAGTCATGCGTCAGGACACATGGTTTATGACAGAGCATTACATCATGTGGAACAGGACACAGTATTCTGTGGAAAGCACCTGAGCTAGAAAGCCTTTCTGTTTTCTAAAAACCTGCTATATTTTGTCTACTGATTGTTCGATACACATTAGAATCAGGACTGAAAAAGTTGAATTGCTCAGCGCAATTAGTAACAACATTGCTTAGGCAAAGAATTAGCAGGTCTGTTTCAAGTATGAATGTACTCAAACATATGAAGGGTTTCTGATATTTACAATACTTCCCGCTGGCCGCTGTGCAGTGTTGATCAACTAATAATGTGGCCCAGCAAGGAAGTTATACAATACTAATACTACTGCATTTGACATTGAATAGTAAATGGTAGTAGAAGACTAAGTGTAGGATGTAAAGACTATTTACAGGCATGTGTCTACCTTCTTTTACCCATAATACAGAGGTCAATAGCTCATCTATTTCCTATCTGGCTGCACTTCAGCTGGCCTCATACTTATGCTCGTTGCAAACGCTACCAGCTGCAAGAAGTTGATTTCAAAGAACGAAACAGCTTTATTGTAGCAATGAACATATTCAGCTGGAACCTACCGTTGCAAATCCAGCACAGGCAAGGCTGACACCTTTGAAGTAGTAAGGCGTAGCTTCTGATAGACACCAGGCTGTGAAGCCAAATGGACAAATTAGGATGGAAAACAAAATCTGAAGAGCTTAACTTGTTCTTAGTTTAGATGTGCTAATAAGTTAAGACAATGTCAATCATGCATATATATACCTGTGAGAGGAGTAAAAATTAGAGGAGATATGACACTTGCAGTTGAGCTTATTCCAGTGATGCACCCTTGGACCATTCCCTTGATTGCAAATTAAATAATGCAAAAGGAGTCATGGTGGTAGAACATATATAAGAAGTTTGCCATTTCATTTGTGAAGAAACTTCATTTGCGTTCATATATACTGGAATTGAGGGAAACTATCAGTTGCTTGTGATTCACCCATGTTTTTTACCTGCTCAAAAGGTCCTGCTTTCTTTGATACGATGCTTCTTATCTGTTGAAAAATAGTCAATAAAAAAAAGTTATGTTCAGATGTCGTAATGAACCAGAAACAAGACTAGAGAGCGTCATTATAACAAAAATTACTTACACAAGGTGTGACCAACACGCTTAATATCACACTGCTTGCGGCAAGATAAGGGACCTTAAAAAAACATGCACAACGTGAAACTTAGAACAAACAATTAATGCCAATCAAAATCTCATAGAAAAAAAATACTGCCACTAGATCACTTGCATACCCAGAACGACCATGCGATGCTGTATAGGAATGCCTGCACATCCAAGACGGAGCAAATCAAATAGTTATTGCTGAATTAACCAGAGACAAATATGCAGTACATCCAACAAAGCAGCATCCTTACCTGCCCGCAGCTCGCTATAAGTGCTATGACAAGTAGCTTCTGTTCACCTAGCTTTGGCACTAGGAGTGGCATCACAGTTAGCTGCATCATCATAATTCTTAAACGGCTTTAGACGCAGCTAAGTAAATTTGAGCACTTCAGTGGTCACACTCACACATAAAGTCATTCAAGATAAAATTGTACCTGCGAGAAGCTTCCTGTAATGCCAATGATAAGTAGCAAATTGGCATACTGGTTCTTACTATAATGGAATTTTGCCTTCAGGAAGTACTGCATTTTGCAGCCCAAAGGGAAGAAGAGTTAGAAGCAACTTTCAAAAACGCCCGTCAGTCAGATGTACCATACTCCTCTGTCATAAGAAGAAAGGAAATCTCGCTTTGCAACGAGTCAAACAATTCTAAGTTTATTATGAACCAAATATATGAAAAAAATATCAATATTTGTGATGCATAGTAATTAGTATCATTAGTTTAATCATGTAATATATTTTTCATAATACCTATTTAAATATACAGACATTGATAAATTTGTAACTGTTTGATTTCTTAGGAAGTGCGATTTTCATTCTTTTAGGGGAGTATATGATAGTGCAATATTTGGCATTATTTAAATATAAGTTTAGTTCATGAATTCATGCACTGAATTCTTTCAGGAGAATTGCATAGTATTTATGTCATGATATTGCTCCATGATATTTGCATACTCTTCATCTGTAATGTCTGTGTGCTTTGTAACAGAGCAAAAGAGGTGTACCAGTAGTGTACTTAGTAAGCCTGCCTCACCAAGGCTTTGGAAAAATGTGACGACGGCCGCCCTGGAGAAGGTTGAGCTGCAAAAGTTGTTTGGAGCATTCTCCATTTTAGAAAAGTTTTTTGGAGCATTCAGGAGGGAATATTGAGATGGAGACACATATGAAGTTGTATTCTTATTTAATCAGCATGCTCTGGTGACCGTACTTTTCTATATATCTTTTATTTAATTTAATACAATGACATGCAGAGAAAAAAATCTTATCTAACCATCTATTGTGGCTTATTATTAGGCAATAGGATAGACGTTAGTTCACTTTGTGACTTTGTGTCATTCTCTGAAAGAAACTTGTGCACTGCCATTCATCGGGTGCATCATCGGCCCCGTTCGCGTACGCCTTAAAACCCGGCTTGATCCGCTTATTTTTTCATCCAAACAGTGTTTTTCTCTCACAAATTCCTCCAGCATTACTCCAAACCATCCAGATTCCTCCACCAAACCATCCAGATTCCTCCAAAATTCAGACAAGTGAACAGGCCCATCATCTAAAAAGCTCCGGGGGGTTGTTAAGAACGGGTTTCACCTAGTGCATGTTGATCGTGTAGGCTTAGGTTTATAACTAGAGTGGGTTTTGGGCTTTTGGCAACAGTTACATATATGCTTTGCAATGCAGGTTGCAGGGACCCAATGCAGCCCATTACAACTTTTAGTTAAGGGGGCCGGCAAAAAAAAAAAGAGTCCTGTCAGGAGTCGGTTTATTCAGAAAATGGAATGGGAGGCTGAACAGACGTCACCTGCTGGTAAGAATGGCCGCTAACTCCGACAGCGACGGCGCCTTCCGAAGTGGCGGAAGCCTCGGCGACGCCTCCTCGCTGCTGGTGCTGGAGGAGGGAAGGCAGAGCGGCCGGGAGGACTCCTCGTCGCTGCCGCTGCTGCCGCAGGAGGAGGACACGGAGGCTCCGCCGTCCGTCTCCTGGAGGAAGGCCTTCATGTAGACGGCCGTCACCACGGCTGCCGCTGCCGAGACCTGCAGCGCAAGCATATATACGCACGACGCTGCTGCTGGTTACTTGGTTTGCCGGATCGGATCGGATGCCAGAAAGGCAGAAACCATCATCATCATCATCGTATATATATTCCGACCTGAAACGTGGATGAGGCGGGGAGGAAGCGGGCTGCCACGGTGCTGGCGACGAAGCCGGCGCTGCAGACGCCGGAGAAGACGCCGAAGGCCGCCGCGCGCCGCGTCTCCGGCACCCTGTCAGCCTGGAGTGAGCACGTAAGGGCTCATCGTCAGTGCATGAATGGATCCAGACAAACTTGCATCGTCTGTCAGCTGGTGAGACGGCAGCTTGCATTGATGGGAGGCAGAGATAGTAATATGGTGGTACCACGTAGGCAAGCGAGAGGCACATCATGGTGCCTTCGGAGACCATCGCCGTCAGCGTCTTGGTTATGTAGTACGCGTAGAAGTAGCCCTTGGTCCGGCCGTACGCCAGGATGCCTATATGTGATGGAACAAGAACAGAATATACTAAGTACGTAGGAGTAATGTTAAACAACGACCTTCAGTCCGCAGCAATGGTTCGGTGATTGATTACCGAGAGGAACGATGGACGCCGTCGCGGGTAGCGCCAGCAGCGCCTTCCGCCCGTACCTGTCGGACAGGTTGCCGACCACCGGCGTCAGGACCAGCGCGCCCAGGCCAGTAACCTGAAACAAACACGCATGTTTCAGAATTCGAATTCGACAGATTGAAACGGCCGGATCGAGTCTGTTGGGCTGTTCCGCTGGGCCCTCGATCGGCGTCTCACGGCGGGCTGACATGATTTTTGCGGAGGCTGCAGCTGCAGTAGTGGGCTAGTGGCGGATC